CCCCCCCCCCCCCCCCCCCCCATCTTCGAGGTCTCAGGCTCCAGAAGACAGGCTTGGCGGTGGACAACAGAGAACCGGTCGTGTTACATAAACGGGTGGATCAGACCACATATCAGGCTTTCGTCATCATTCCAGGCCTGAAGAATCCTGAAGGCCAAGATCCAAAAAAACGCCGATAGATCGGAGACTGTAAACTACACCAATACTGCTGGCCTTATCGCAGGCGTCAATGGCAGTGTTGATGCTAACGAGGTCTCTCCCCAGAGACGCCTTGCTGCTGCATCTTGCTGGCTTCACGATCTTGCAAAGTGAGAGTTCCGAGGCCGCGAGTCAAGAAGCTAACAAACCGTCAAAAACTGAGGAAGCCCCACAAAAGCCGGGGAAGCTAGGAGGGATGAAATAGTAGGGCTAGTAGGGAGCAGTAGTAGAGCAGTTACAGCCGCAGGAAGTTGCAGCAACAGAGTGATGCGTTCGTCGGCACTGACGTTCACCCGTTTTTAAGCTCGGGTCATCAATGTTAAAACTACTGCAACGCAGGGGTTCAGTTTGTGGGCATGGCTTCGGGGGTTGAGAGTTTCGGAGCTGAGGGTGTAAGATGTAAGACACGTTAAGCGTCGCACCTCCATGCTACAAATGCTACACTTCTAAAACTGCTATTGCTGCTGCTCCCTGCCTCCTGAATCGGACAAACCCAGGAACAACGGCCCTGATCCTGTTCCGACATCAGGCCTCTGCAATCGAACAAGCTCGAAACTCCAACTGGAGGAAAGCAATGCTTCTCCGGACTTTTCCCGTATACCGGTGCTGCGAACTCGAAGCCACTCTTCTCAAAAGCCCTGCCAAGCCTTCAACACATTCGGTGCTGCCCCAGAACAAACAAGAAAGAAGCAAAAGCCGAAGCCAGCCTGAAACCCGGAGAGAGACGAGGCCCAGAGACCTTCGCTGGCGCATGCGCTCTGAGCCTTTGGCTTCTTTCGGATCTTCGACTTCGGGTTTAGATGTTGAGGGCTTGAGGATTGGCATGCCAGGATTCGGATCCAACATCTAGCCAGCCTGCCTGGTTTTTCGGCTTTGTAAAGGATTTCCGGCTTGGGATTGGAGTTTTCACGGTTTGGGCGGGCTCTGGAAACGCTCCGGTTCAGGGTGACGCTCGGGTCTACTTTGCTGGCATTGCTGCTGCTAGCTGCATGGTGCCATTGACCATGAACATTGTAACTTCTGTGGGCTTAACTACTCTATCAAATTGCCACTACGACGACTACGACTCAGAGTTTGCACGACAAAGCCCGCCTGCTAGACAGCAGTCGTTGACGCCGCCACAACCACAAAACAATCGCGAATGCCGGTTTCAGCAACTACGCCTGAGTCCGGATGGACGTGACTAGACGAAGGGAAACGAGTGCTCAGCTCAACACGGAAACTTTCAACCAGGATCCATGGTTTAAGTTCACGAGGTGGAGAGGGGGGGGGGCCTTTGACTGGCTCACAACTTGGAATGGTGGTGCAAATGTGATGATGCCGAATATCCGAAAATAGCTATAAGTCGCTCGGATAGGCGGAACAAGATCCTGTTTCCGCTTTCTTGCGTTTAAAGAGAGGGGTCACAAAAAGACCAGGGCCTCCGAGCGGCTGCATTCCGTGCCACAATGTTCGGGACGAGCCGTGCTGCTGCCTCCACGAAGATCTCGAGGGCCTCTTCAGGGCTCAGTTCACTGCGTTCTCGGGCAACGCTTCGAGTGTCGGCTCGAAGGTTTAGGACTGGGATATACTGCTCACTCGGACGTGATGGTACCAAAGGCACCCGAAGTGATGAGTTGGAGCATGGCGGGGCAGAGAGCCACGTCATGCTTCCGAAACCTCTCCACATTCTGGGACTTTGGCGAGTGCCCCAAGTCAAACCCTTCCGGCTTCACGACGGACGACTCCGAGTCTTCGGGTTGCAAGGACCCGGGACAGTTCAAACATGGATGAATCCCGAGAAGGCATTCTGCTTTCGTGTTCGCTGAACTCAAAGCCTTCGAGGGATAACCAAGAAGACCAGCATGCAACTTTGCTCTTGGCCGGTCGCAGGTGGTTAAGCCATGCATGTTCGGCGGTGCGGGAAACTTTCGCCGGGAACAAAACCTGCAATTACAGGCTCCCCCCCTTCAGTCCTCACGTGTCTACTAATGTGCATCTTATTCGCCAGCTGTGGAACAAGAGGGTGACTTCAAGGAGTTGCCAACGCAACTAGTGTTCAACTTCTCAAGATCGAGATGCTCACCTACGGATTTGCGGCAATTCCGGACAATCAAAATGCCTGCCTGCATTTCCTTCGACTCTGTTCATGTGCCGGCTTTCTCCACACTTTTAGGAGCGGAAACGCTCGTTCGGACTGCCTGCTGCAGCGTTGGTCCCATATTGCATCGCGCAATCTCTCTTGACCAAAGGGCCAAAGGGGCACAGATTCAAAAATTCGGGAGGAGAGCCAACTCAGTTCCAAGCTCTGCCGAGCTTTCAATACATCCTCAAGTTGCATGGAAGCTCACACCCATCGCAACGTGTGTGCATCTCCAAGAGGAACCCGTCTGCCTCGTGCCAGCGGCTGCCCGAAGCACAAGCCTTGCAGGCGTTCGTGAAATCTGTCTAGGAGCTTTGCTTCAACGAAGTGTCTGCATGCTTTTCACCTATTCTGTACGGTATGGAAAGACTGCATGGCTACAGGTATCGCTCTTACCCTCTTCCTGCTACTACGGCTACTATTTCTACCACTATCAACACCACCACCACCACCACCACGACAGCGACAAAGACGACGACGACGACGCGACAGGACTACTACTGCTGATGTCTACTGCTTTTGCTGCTGCTACTGCTACTCTCTACCACAACTATTGCTACCATTAGCATTACCACCACCAGCACCGCCATCATCATTATCACCACCACTATCCTCGGAATAGTCATCCTGGTCACAGGCTCGTGATCATCATCGCCATCATCAAGACTATGATCGATAGAGTCGTCATCCTCCGCAACACGGCCAATACCATCATCGGCATCACAATCATCCCCATCACCGACATCAATCATCTTCTGCGTCTGCAGCAGTCGCAGCAAAACCGGCAAGAGAAGCAAGGGCAGCCGCGGCAGCGTCACCATGAACACAGCTTCATACAAGCTCCCCATATGCCCGTCGGGGAAGCACGACACGCCTTTAAGACGCTCGACAGGGACACCACGTTCGGGAGCACCCCATGAACTGGGTGCCTCAGCTTCACTCCGGTGTTGGGCAATATCGTTCTTGCAGGACTTGTCACAACGATTCGGCCCATTTCAGTAAATACAGCATCGAACACAGCTGGAACTGCACGCAGAAATTCGAGAGGGACGGGGAAAGTGACAGGTAAGAGAACCCTTTATGGATTGTTTGACCCGTGGCTTTGTGTCGTTTCGTATTCATCCTTATTCCTTATTCTTCTTGTTCTTATTTCTTATTCCTTGTTTCTTACTTCAAATTTTCCGTATTTTTTTCAACCGTTAAAGTTTTTCAAAGTTTTTTGTAAACGGTTGTCCTCGTCCAACAACAAAACTGCAAGGTTTTTTGGAAACCCTTGTCCTCCTCCAACAACAAAACTGCAAGGTTTTTTGTAAATCCTTGTCCTCCCTATCATTGTTGTATGTGCTACAATATTTCCACCAACATCAAAAACGCATGTCATTTTGTAAACCCTTGATCTCCTCCAACATCAAAAATGCGAGGTTTTTGTAAGCCTTTGTTCTTCACCAACATTCAGACCACCTCCCTCCCCTCCCTCGCCTCATTGTGATTTCTCTTTGGACGGACGACGGGCCTCACAGACGCCGTATTGGAAAGGGTATTCTGTAAAGTATTCCATAAGCAATTCTCCAAAAATCCTGCGTTTTCATAGAAATCCCTTATTCAGTAAGCTACAATGCGAATTGGGGAACTCTGATTAGCAAGTTTGGCTGGCATATGTGTACATATCATATACCCAAACAGGCGAGTCAAATGATACATAAAGGGCCCCTCCATATATATATATATATATATCTTTGTTTATTTATTTATTTATTGGTATATTTATATATTTACATATTTTGTATTTTATTAATGTATATTTATATGTATATTTATCATTTTATGTATATTTATTTTTACTTTTATATATATATATATATAGATATAGATATACATGTATGTATGGAGGGGACCTTTTTTCATGTATAGACATAGAAAGAGAAAGATATACAGCAGATATAGATATAGATACAGATGCAGATATAGACTTGGATATAGATATAGATGCCTACCAATTCAACAACAAACTTGATGTCATGCTATTTCACACAAGTTCCATGATGTGCTGAAACACATCACGGCAACCTGCTTTCTGTTATTTCTGAATAGATGCTGCAACATGGCAGATCATCTTCTTCTACAAAGTATGACATGATACAACGTCTACAGTCACATACCACAACAGTCAACATACTGACAAACATGCATGCATACCTCATAGCAGCACAAGGCGGCACAACTATATACAACCATCTGCGATCTCGGCGCATGCTGCGGAGCAGGTCCAGCGCAAGAGGCCAGGAGGCACCCTGAAATTGGCTGGAGATCACAACTCTATGTGGTTCTAGATGGGGCTGTGTAAGTTCGCTTGGCTTTGATATTGCTCTTTCAGGACGGATTTCTGAGAAGACTCCATGCCGGCTTGAAGAAGGTCGGCACAGCTATTCTCGTAATGACGAGAGTTTCGGGTGGGATTAAAAGATTTCGTGCTCATAGCTGCCAAAGTATCACCCAGCTCACAAAATAGACAGCATCGCACCCTCAGCCCTGAACCGCGAGATCCTGCGTGCCCCTACATTCGACAGTTTCTTGGCTTAGCTTTACAACTGCTTGGAGCGAGAAATATGTGTCGATGTTTTGCGCAAGGACGCTCATTACATTGACTCGATGTTAGTGCGTGGGTTCGGCACTCTTGGACTTTATGCATCGCACTCAGTTCGGTGCCTCCCGACACGCCGCCAAAGCCGAGCTAATGGAGACCTGCTAGTGCTCGTCATGGCAGAGGACCGATGTTTGCCAAAACTACGCTCACAAACGAGAAAGGACAAGAAGAAAAGTGGCAAAATGAAAAGAAGTACAAGAGCCAGAAAACAAGCAGTAGTCGCGGCAGCAGCAGCAACAGCAGCAGCAGTGCTAGTGGAGTAGTGGTGCTAGCACTATTGCTACTATTGGTAATAACTGTAATACTTGTTGTGCCACATAGTGCGCACCAGCATCAGTACTCATAGCAACTCGGCCAAGACACCAAGACTTGCTGTCAAAGCTTCACGCCGCAACCCTTTCTCTTCACAGACTCTGAATACGTCTGTAGGCATGAACGACATGCATGCAGGCATGCATTCATGCAAGTCAGTGTGCCTGTATGCATGTATGTCTGCATATATGTGTATATGTAGATATGTATATACTTATGTTATCTTGTTTTGTATCATATTGAATTTCGTTGCCTTTATCTCCCATTGTATACATATGTAGAGCACAAATAAATGCGCCCACCATGCTCATTCTCTTGCTAGCAGTATTTCGCTTATTCTTACTGCTGCTGCTCGCATGAAAATATTCTCATTCACCAAAAGCATCACCTTCACCACCGTCTTACAGGTAGCGAGAGTAACCAGATCAGAAACACCATCAGTACTCAGCACTCCCAAAATACAGTGCCTGTACCGGTCATGGAAGTAGCCGTCATGTGGAGAATAGAAGCGATGGAAATCGAAAACGACAGCAACATCGATATGCCGCTGGCCGTGACCACAACAACCCACCAGCTGCCTGGACCAGCACAACAACTTGAAACCTGCAACATCCCCGAACCACGTGCGCAGAATTCCAAAGGGCGGAAAGGAAGCTTTCAGCACACCCCAAAGCCAATGCGGGCTCGGAACGACGTTTGGGCGGCAGGTGCCGATCGCCATCCTCGGATGCCCCAAAGCGGCCAGGGAGCGCGCTTTCTGCGCCCGAAGCCCTGAGAGGCCTTGAACCCACTTCTAAGCTCGACGAAGCACCGTTTCTGCATTATCTAGATGCTCAAGACCGCAAGCTTCCATGGGGATCAGGGGGGGTTGTGGTAGAGCAGGGCCCAAACAGGCTTTTGGGGCTCAGGGTACCGTCTAAAGCAAACACGATTACGACGTTGGACGAGTCGGGGCCAGAATGGCTTGTAGTGTCGGCTGGGATCTCCGGATGCAAAGACCGGAAAAGCGATTCGGAGGCCCAACATCATCTCTGGTCGAGGCAAGCAACCAGTCCAGGAAGAACAAAGGCTTCAGCCACCCGGGACATGTCGCAGCTGCCGTGCTGAAAGATATGACATCCGTCGCGACCTCTTGCTCAAGCAGCCTCGGCTTTTCTGATTGAAGTCTGGGCAACTTGGATTGTGTGGAACACGGAGCGGCCCGAGATTCCGAAGCATGGCCGTGCCGATGCGTGTAGTTGCACTACGACGGCGGGCTCCAAACTCTGAGCGCCAGCCCTGTCCCCAGGTCAGTCCCAATCAACCGAGCTTTTCAATCTTATCTGCAACACAAGTCGTGGAAGCGCGGAGATGAAACAGAAACGATGATGTGGGTGCCTCTGCTATAACCACTACAGTACAACTACTACAACTACTACTCCAACTCCGACTTCTACTGCTTCCAGGACCACGACCACAACGACCACAACATCTCCTGCTACGATGATGATGATGATCGTCACCAGCAACGACCATCTACCACTGCTCCACCGCAGGAATAGTTATTTCCAAAGTTTCTAAGATAGTGACGCGCTCTACATCACGTAATCATGCCGAGCCACCTGGCCGACAGCTCCTGAAGCGCCCATGACCACTGCTGGGACCTCTGGAAGACACCTGATCTTGGAGCGTCAGGACTCGGGCTTAACGGGCGAGGGCCTGCAACTGCATGAAAGTTCGAGGCTCCTCAAAACCGAAACAGAATATTCATAAGCAAGAGCTCCACGGGTAGCAAGAACAAACGAAGTACCGCTTGAGACCAGTTCCAGTGA